GGCATCCGGTGTCCAATCTGCGGTCCGCATGCGCACGAAACATGGAACCATTTGGGGTACTGTACCTCGAACCAACCTCTGGAGGCTCAAGCTTGCACCAAAGGGGAGGTGGATGGCCAACCAGGAGGTTGATGGGTCCCACCCACTCGCTCGCCTCCAGGCTGCCGTGGGCTTCCGCTGATCGGGGCACCCGCTTTTGGCAACGAACCAACAAACCGAGCGCCACCGTTTTTACTGTAGAAACAAGAGGAACAGCCGGTGACCGAAGGGAGGCGGGAAACCGGAAACTGCCGAGTCTATCCAGGGCAAACAATTCGAGGCCTTGCAATCCCTTGTCTTGGTAGCAATTGCAGCAATCCGTAGATCTGCAACGGCTAAACATTGGCACCAGTTGTTTGTTAGACGCCTGGGTAAGGAGAATTCTTTGCTCTTGCAAATGAGAAGCATCAGGCTGTTCTACGGTAGTTTCAGGTGTTGAGTTTATTTGGGACCTTGTGTACTTTCCTTGCCGGCAGGTGTGATCTTGGTGTGCTCTCAACGTTCCAACATCATCAGATGCTCCGATTTTTGGTCTTCATCGCTGAACTTCATGGTGTGACACCCTGGTTTTTCTCGGTCATTTCACACATTCATTTCACTCGATTCACTTCGCCCTGAAGTTCTGCGGATGTTCTGCCAAAGACGGGTTGATGATCAATGCTTCAGTTCTTTTGGCCCCGACGCACCGGTGACCCCGTCGCTCGCTTCTCATCAAAGCCATGGCGAGACGGTCTGGCGTGCCGCGGCCGATTGAAGGGGAGTAGTTAGATGAAGAGTCTGCCGAGAATTGTGGAACGAACCCAAATTTTGCTTCGACGTTTTCTCTTGGAGGCCCATGCGGTTAGAAACTCGTCCACGACGATGGTGAAGGTCCCACACTAGCGATGCTTCACACCTTCTTGGTCCCAAAAAGGATGGTGCTGTTTCTTGCTTGGAAGCTCAAACTAGCAACTCCGGACCTCAAAAGAGCAGCGTCACTCGCTTCCAGAGATTTTATGAGATTTCCACATAACTCCTCAGCTTGAGCCATCTGAGGTAGCTCTGCTTGCAGCCCTTTGTGGGCTGATGTGCTTGCAGTGGGCCTTCTTGGGACCTTCTTCCCGCGAGGTGAAGGCACGGCCACTTTCTAGAAAATCCCAAGGATGTCTCAGACTTAGGACTTACTCAGCCACGGGTGGTTGCAAAACAAATTGCTTCACGGTCTGGGGGTGTTTGGCTACTGTGTTTCGCCTCAATCCTTCGGCAGTGTGACCGTGGTGTTTTGCGCCAGGTCTCTCAGCCGGAGGCCGCCGCGCTGGCGGCCGGTGCGGTGCTGGCCGTGCCTGAAGCGGCTCATGCGCGGCTCCCGGAGGAGAACTGGCGTTTACACCGGGAGCATTTCTCTTTTTAATCGGGTGCAGAGGCCAGAGGTTTGGGAATTGGGGGATGACCCCACTCTGTAAGTAGGAGATGAAAGAAATACACCATCGCTGACCACTAGTTTGTTTGGGTATGTTTGGGTAAGGATCCTTTCAGGAAGCTTCAATGTCCAAGTGATTCTCTTTGAGGCGGAGACCGCTTGTGTCGTTGGTGGACATTGTTTTTATCACAGTGTTGAGTGCAGACCGCTGCAGACCTGTTTAAAGAGTTTGAATCCGCTGCGGTTGAAGCACTTGGGGTCTAGTGTAGTGTATTATGTAAATTACAACAACTCTGGTGGACACCAGCCTTCAGTGGGGATGGTGATCGAAGTAGTTGGTGGGTCAGCGGGTCAGCTCCAAACAAACACTCCACAGGAGAAGACCCTTGGTGGTGTTTTCTCCCACTGGGGGCTTTGGGATACACACCAATGGTCTCGATTATTTCACCAATATATAAATAGTGACAATAGTGATCCACCCTTGACTGACTGGGCGTACGACTGACGAAAACACGGTAGTGAATCACCATAGCCGCAGATAGAGCGGCAGCAGAGCAGGGATCCTTCATCACAGGATCCAAATCTACACAGCAGCGCCGGTTGACACCTCACTAGTCTGCAGCTGGGAAACCAGCGGATGAGGTCTTTCTGTTTATCCAGTTTATCCAGAACCAATGGAGTGTGTTGTATTTATGTAGTTTGTTTTTTCTTTTCCACACCATCTTCAACTGGAGGAGTTCGTGATCTTTGCACCCATCGTCGACGTGCTCCCGGTGCCGCGGCAGCCTTTTTCTTCATTTTAGTTTTCGGTCAAAAGCATGTGTTCATGGTCTTTTGTTGGCACCAGTACCAGCACATCAGGAACAGCGGCCTGAACACCACCTTAGCTCAACAATGGGAGTCCTTTGTACCAGTTGCAAGTTTGTGTTTTGCACCTGGGGCAGGATTTCTTTCAGCTAGAAATGCAGGAGTGCAAGCATCTATTGGTGGAGCCAATGGCAGTGTTGGATGTGCGAATCCCACAAAATGGGGCGAATCCCAAGCGTTTCGCGTTCCTGCAGATCCTGCCGGTCTTCTTCTTTCTCTTGGCGTTCCTTTGGCAGGCGAGCACCGAGCCATCGATCCGCGCGGAGCGGGACCTCGGTCCGCGCGGAGCGGGACCTCGGTCCGCGGAGCGCGGCTCAGGCGGCAGTCGGCTTCCGCTAGGTTGGTGGGTGTGGAGGGATTGGACACCTGGGGGATGCGGTTTGCTGAGGAAGGACCGAAGTATCATGAAGTATCTGACATGCATGGAAGCTGGGGTCCTTGACTAGGAATCTTTGACATCAGACGAGGAAGATCAAAGAAGTAATCTTAAGGGCAAGATGATCCTGGACACAATTGACGTAGTTGACTTGCGTATTGTGGGCTGAAGAAGACTGATGCCTCCCTTGACTCTTGTGCAAAGGCTAGCAGGGCACATGCATGCATGCCTTTGCCAAAGCACGAAATATCCAGCAAGCCAGCAACATTGCCAGAGAACACCACATTCCCCATGGACACTACTCATTCAGCAACTTTGATTCTCAATCACCCGAAATCACGAGCAGCCCGCTCCTGGTGCAGGTGCAGATCTGAAATCAAATGAGCGCATGGCAATGCCGCGCTCGCGGCGAAAACCGGGTTGCGCTTTTTGCAAGGCCATGTGGAGAAATGGTGCGAAGAGAGATCTTGGGCGAAACGGGCGAACCGGGGTGCACACCATGCCAACGGCTTCTGCGGTCTCTGTGACTAGCAAGGCATTTGGTGGCCAGAGGATCCGATTTTAAGGAGAGACAACGACTGCAAACTCAGGCTTACCAGAACTGCCATGCACAATCAGGTTCTCTTGTGGCTTTCCGTGCTTCCACCTCGACTTGTGGTTCACTATGGTTCAAACAACTACAGACTTTCCACTGCCACGCAGCCCCTCGCCTGTTGATGCCTGTTGCACATCGCCTTTGCCGCAGAAGGGCTCAAGGTTGGCAGACTCACACCCAAGCGGAAAAGGATCGACACCAGTGACATCATGGCTCGCCGCTTGCCAGAAGTGATGGGGGGCAAGCAATCGCCGAACAACATGCCTGTAAGATTTGGAAGACCGACCAAAATACACATAGCAGGTGTTCAACCCAACAGAACTTGCCCGGCAGCCGGCAGCCTTCTTCAGAACAGTTTTATCGAACTCCATGCAACTTGTGTGACAGGTTCTGCATCAGGCTCCACCGGCCTCCTTATGCTGCTGTGTGCCGCTGCCGCGCTCTGCTTTCTGCAGAGCGCCTTCGTTGGCCCCACCAAGGCAGAGGCGACAAGGGACTGCCAGGGGTCCAGTGGGCCAGTGGGGGCAGGAGAAGGTGCAACTTTCTGCAGCCACGTTTCACCAAAATGTTTCAGGGACGCAAGAAAATGGTCGATTTGTATGGCAGAGGTCAGAAGGCTACCGCTACTACATCCCTCAAATGTTGTTTTCTGCCCAGCTTCTCGAGGTCTCTCAGGACGCGGCCAAGCTGGCAGTGGCCGGTGCTGTGCTGGCAACGCCTGAGGCGGCCCATGCACGACTGCCAGAGGACGTGGATGCAAGGGGTCTGGCCCAAACTCAACCATTGTCTGATCCACCATAGCCGCTAGCCCCTGTGAAATGATGTCGCTTAGTTTCATTTGATTTTTTCTCCCTGGCTTCTGGTTGGCCCAGATTCACAGAGAAACGAGAAGAATCCAACAATCCATCAGCGTTTGTCGGAGATGATGGGGATCTTTAAAACATTTACAAGTCAAACATCGTCAAACTCAGATAACTTTTTCTCCAATTCTGATAGGCCTAGCAAAGCAAACTCCCCACTTTGAGGAGTTTGTGATCTTTGCGCCCATTGTGGATGTGCTTCCTGCCCGGGCCCTGGTGCCATGCACTCTGTTGTGAATGTCGCGGACCAGTGATTAGTTTTGTTGGCAGATCCTCCCCGTCTTCTTCTTCCTCTTGGCCTTCCTTTGGCAGGCAGGTCGAGTCTCGCAGCAACCCAACGTTTGTTCCAAAATGGTTGAGCTGGCCCCGAGGGGGCTGCGAGAGCTGGTGATGGGGAGCGCCAATGTCTTGAATGAGACACCAGGCACGGACGGTATGGCCATTGACCCCAACCCATCCGCCAGGCTGCCGTGGGCTTCCGCTGAAGCACTGGAGTGGAGCTGTGTAGCCGCCAAACCTGAGCAGAGCAGGTGCCAATTCTAGAGTCGCAAGGAAGCTTCTTCTGACGCCTTGGCATGCCAATGAAAGAGACCAAGAGAGTCAGGTCTTTATTGTAAAAGGCTGGGGAAAGCATCAATGTTGGAGAACGGAGAAAGAATCCATTTCCAATGTCGCTGGCAGCTGGGGGCCGACCAAGCTTTTTGACAGTTCTCAAGAGTCGCAAGGGCTGAGCTGCAGAAAAGGGCCCACCATCGTTTGGGTTCGGCGCAATCATACGAATGCAATGGGGCTGCATTCTGTGCTGTTTTTTGCTTTGGGGCATTCATTTCTACACCACTCCCAAGATTCATCAACCACAGCAAATCTCACAGACTTTTGCATACAAGAGATGACACAACCATGGAACTACAGGGAATTGGATTGGCAATGGATGCTGGAGGCATGGTATGTTTTGTTTCTTCCAACTGCAAGGGTTCCATTGGCCATGTTGCAAGCCATGGCGCGTGATGGCTCAATCCGGAATCCTGCAGCACGTACAGCGTTTCTTCTCCACGTATTTCGTTGTGATGCCAAGCTCAAGACCAGTCGCAGACCAAAACACGTCAGGACCACCCCGCACAGAGGCCTTCAATTTGATCCTTCTCTGCAAAAAATCCTCAGACTCGTCGAGCGGTTTTCGCTTTTGCGACTGAACTCCAGCCATGTTGCGACCGGACCACCTCTTTCCCCATGACCTGGCCAATGAGCACCACCAGGACGGTCGTTCAGAAGGGGGGGGGGGGGGGGGAGCGGCCTGAACAAGCAGGAGGACTCCTCCCGAATCAAGCGCTTGCAAGCAACCAGTTATGAAGATGTGGGTGATGTCGATGGTAAGACAGAAGAGGTGGGCGAAGATGCGGGGGTCGAAGATGGGCAGGACCTGTCGAGAAATGTCGAAGAGTTGCAGGAGCATGGTGCCTGGCCGCAAGAGGGTGATAGGACTTGGAGGCTCTCATGGGGAGCATCGATCATGTTAGATGGGAATCGAGGATCACTCACTCTAAGTCACCTATTGGGTGATGGTCTCAGCGGAACATCTAGATTGAAATGGGGGTGTGAACAAGAACAGCCAGGTCGATTTTTGCATTTAAGAAGGGAGGGGTATTTTTCCCCAAACAGTGCGGACACACATAGGGGTTCTTACGGTTGGAGTAAAGCTGCTCGCAGGGAGGCTGGGGCGAAGAGGGAGGAGGAGCGGCGGCTGGACGTCGAATCGCCACGCGCGCGCGGTGACTGCTGTCAGGATTCCAGCCCCAATTTTTTTGGGTGTTTGGGCACGAAGAGGGGATTCCGGGGTCAGTCGATCTCTTGACCCCTAGGATCCCCTAGGACCTGAATCATTGATTTAATAGCCTGTACCGAACAACCATAGTTTCATTAAACATGTTACGCTATGAAACCAGGTCAGCCATGTTCTTAATCGTGTTTGAGGGCTCACCGACGATGTTTCGCTCCGAACTTGAAAAGTATGTCGAGGTCAACGCGTGGGCTTCTAGACAGTGATCGGATCAAGAGTAGAATTCTTCCTTCTGGAGCCACGTGAGAGGACATGTGGAGTCATGGTGTCCCAACCCATCTCATGAGCCGGCATGGTCGTGATCTTCGAGCCGCTCTGACTTCGTGACAGGTGCAGTGAATCGTAGCTTTTGGACACGTGGCTCGTTTGCAGATTTCGTGGCAGGCGCAGCACTTCGTGGACCTTGACGTGGCAATTTCGTGGCAGGCACAGCACTTTGTGAACCTCGAAGTGCAGATTTCGTGGCAGGCGCAGCGCTTTGTGAACATCGAAGTGCAGATTTCGTGGCAGGCACAGCACTTTTTCGTGGCAGGTGCAGCACTTTGTGAACTTTGATGTGCAGATTTCGTGGCAGGTGCAGCGCATTGTGAACCTCGAAGTGCAGATTTCGTGGCAGGCACAGGACTTTGTCAACCTCGAAGTGTAGATTTCGTGGCAGGCGCAGTGCCTGGCCACTTGGTGAACCTTGGAGCGCAGATTTCGTGGCAGGCGCAGCGCATGGTGAACCTCGAGGTGCAGATTTCGTGGCAGGTGCAGTACTTTGTGAACCTCGAAGTGCAGATTCTTCGCAGGCGCAGCACTTTCTTTGTGCTCTCAGATGCTCACTCTCACTCACTCACAGCTCACTCGCACTCACACTCACTCTTCACTCACACTCGCATTCACACTCATCGCTCTCTCACTCTCTCACTCTCTCGCTCTCTCGCTCTCTCACTCTCTCACTCTCTCACTCTCTCACTCTCACTCTCACACTCTCACTCTCACACTCACTCTCACTCTCACTCTCACTCTCACTCTCACTCTCACTCTCACTCTCACTCTCACTCTCACTCTCACTCTCACACTCACACTCACACTCACACTCACACTCACACTCACACTCACACTCACCCACCCACTCACTCTCTCACCCTCTCACTCTCTCACTCCCTCACTCTCTATAACTCTCTAACTCTCTCACTCTCATTCTCACTCTCGCCGGTGGCAACAGCCAGGGCGCGCAGTTGGAGCTCCACCACATCGCCGCCGTCAGGCGAACTCCGACCCTTCGCCGCATTGCGGATGGCGCCGTTGTTTGCTGGGGTGGCGCTGCTTGCGGTGGTGGACAGCTTCAACGCCCTGCCTTTGCCATTGAGGCAATCCAATCTACTTCGCAAGCCTTGGCAGCCGTCCATGCAGAGGGGGCAGAACCAAGGTCCTCGGTTGGGGGCGGGTCTCCATCCGGAAGACCTGGTTTTGCGGAGAAATAGTGATTCTCTTGGTTGTGGCTTCCGATATGCTTATGTTCAACCTTGTAACTGGGAGGATTGAACCCACTGACTCAGATGTTTGCCAGTTTGTGGAACAGGGTTCAGCGCCTGGGGACATGTGACCGCAGAAAAGCAGCTCGTGACATGGGGCGATTGACAATATTGGCAGTGCCCTGCCTTTTGGAAAAGTCCGACTTGCCGGCCAAGGATTGCGTCGCAATGAGAATTGCGGAAGAGGGAAGTAAGTTAAGAATATGTGAAGATACATATAGATATATAAAAATACATACATACATACATACATACGTACGTACGTACGTACGTACGTACGTACATACATACACATATATATATATATATATTTGATGTTTTTTGATTCAAAGTCTAGAAACCTTTGGCTATGTATACATTTGTTTGAATAGGAGTACACAGGACCTGCAAATCCCAATATCGGTGGATGCTGAGAGCCACCAGGCTTTCGCCATTTCATTTTCCACTTCACCCAGGATCAACCTGCCTTCGCTCTGAAACATTCCATCTCTGCAAAACCCCGCAACAGTGCACCCATCTATCTACCTCTGTATACGTGGGCTGGAAAGATGGTAGATCTTTTGAATCCGACGTCAAAGCGAAGGACCCTACCTCAACAGCCAAAGCGCAACATTTCTTTCAAGTATGAGGCGAAAGGGCTGCATCCCCTCGCTCCTCAGGTTTGTATATGTTTTTTTGTTTTGTCGAATGTCCCAACTTCTGGACTTGAAGTTGGGTGCAGGTAGATGTCGGGCGCAGGATTCTGTTACTGTCTTTTCATGGTGGGCCAACCAGAAAGGTCAACCAGACAATGATTCGTGATGACTTCAGTACGGGCGGGGCAAGCGCCGCGCCCACTATAGGTTCTGAAGGCAGAGATGCGCGACATATACACGCGCGCGCTTGCCGTTGACTGCGAAGAGGAATGAGGAGTGAGGAGAGGAGGAAGAGCGTGTGGGTGAATGGTTGTATTGAATTTGGCCTAGTTTATGGTTGATTGTGAGGCCGTGGGTGAATGTGGGTTTTCGGGGCCACAGGGGTGGCGCCCCTTTGATGCCTACGGCGAATTAGACTGGGAGCGGCGGTGGTGGGGGTCACCCCTTCCCAGTCTAGAGGAGTGGCAGGAGGAAGGCGAGACCAAATGAGATACATATGTCTTGAAAAGTGAAGTTTCAACTTGACAGGTCGTTTGAACCACTTGCGGTTCTGCGAGTGGGCGTTGTGTCATCAATTCCCAACCGGACTTGCGCGAGAGATTGCCTGTATGGTGGAGTGAGGGGTGTATCAAAAGAAAACAACTTGCCATGGTGGAGGTCCCTATGAAGGTCTCTAGATCGTGAGGACCTCTAGATTGCGAGGATCTCTAGATTGTGAGGGTTTCTAGATAGATCGAACCTACCTCACAAAGCAGGAGAATGTCAGAGCGATTTAAAAAAGTGCTGGCTGGCTGACTGGCTGAGAAGAGTGAGGAACTACTAGCGCGCAAGCTAGAGTCACATGTGCAAAAAAAGAGATGCTCATCGATTTTGCGCTAAGATCATATCAATCTGGAAAGACTCCTCAACAAGCCTCTGCCTCCAGACTTTTAGGACCGTCCTTGGAGCCCTGCCACGCCACTCTTACTAGTCATTCAAGACCTTGGAGCGCCAGCCGGCGCGAAAAAGGTTTTCGCAATAACGCGCCGCGTGAACCTCATTGGAAGCATTCACATAGTCTCCAATGCACCGCAGCGCTGCAAAAATGATTACATCCTTGGTTTGTTTCAAACAGAAAAGGAAAAAAGAAAAGGCAAAAGGAAAAGAAAAAGGCAAATGAACAAGAAAACGAAAAAAAGGAAAACGCAAACAAAAAAGGAAAAGGACAGAGACAAAAGGCAAAGAGTAAAGGAAACGGAAAACAGAAAAAAACAAACGGAAAAAAGAAACAGGAAAAAGCAACGGGACAAGGAAAAAGGAAAAAAGGATCCGGAAAAAAGGAAAAAAACAAACAGGAAAAGGAAAGACAAACAAAAGGAACATTAATTTGGAAGAGGAAACAAAAAACAATGGAACATAACCAACGCGCAAAAAATAATGAAAAACAATGAAAAACACATAAACACAAAAAACAATAACAACAAAGATGAGGAAGAGGTGCTTGATGGGTTTATATTATTGTATAATTCCCCAAGCAGGTTTACCTGTGCTCCTTTGAAAGAAAGGGGTGCACGACCGCTGCATGATTCTACATTTGTCTCCGGCTTGCGTTCCTGCCGCGCTGTGGTTGCTGTGGCCGCATAATCTACACTTGTCTCCCATTCTCTCCCACTTGTCCCCCCACTCTCTCCAGTCCCTTGTGGTCTCCCCTGTCTTCAGTCCCTTATGGGTGCTCTGGCTGCATGATTTTAGACCCCCACTTCCCCCACTGTCTCCAGCTGTTTGTGGGTGCGCTGGCCGCGTGATTTTACACTTGTTTCTCCCACTGTCCAGTCCCTTCTGTGTGCTCTGGCCGCATGATTTTACACTTGTCTCCATGTGTCTCCCACTGTCTCTTCTAGGTCTTTGACCGCATGGCAGAAAAAATTTCAGCGTGCCGACATAACTTTTAGCAGGTTGTGTCTTTAAACATTCAGCAAGAGGTTGCTTGTGTTGTTCACAAACTCAAACGCCGGGGCAATGATTTGGTGCCTGATGCCCACATTGCCAATACCAATTCAAAATGAGTTTGGACTTGGACCAAGCAAACTGTTTGGGGTCAACGCTGGTGTAGTTATTTTTGTTCATTTTCCGTGGCAGCTCCACCGGTCTTTCCTGAGGCTTGGCACTCTCCCGCCGCATCAGCAGCCACAGCGATCTGGCGCGACAGGTCTCCATGGTCTCGAGCTTCCATGGGGACAAGGTGGGCATCGGCGGGGTTGTGCCCGAACAAATGGGATGAAGGGAGGCGAAGCAGGTTCTTTTTCCTTGAAGAGTTTCCTTGAGGAAGAGTGAACTATCCCGCGTCCAGTAGCTAGTAGCTTACTTAGCCGTTATTTAATTAGGTAGGCGCCTACTTAATTGAGTAGTAGGTGGGCAGAGCGGGGCCTTTCTGGGCTAAAAGAATTGTCAGAGATGTCAGATGAAGAGGTGTCAGGGCGTCCGAGGTGAAGAGCGCCAGGAACTGTGGGTCAGTTGGAAGGCCTTGGAAGTCAAGACAGGTGGATGTCCTGTTCCCTTCTTTTCCCGGGGGAGCTGCGCCGGCGCGAAGCCGAAGCCGCACCTTCTTTGCGTCGTTGGACGATGGACGTTTGCGCGACGCTGAGGTGGAAGACCTACAGCCAGAGCACATTTGTGCGATCCTGAAGACAGATCCCAACAGAGGCCTCTCCGTCGACAAGGCGGAGGAACGCTTGAAGAAGGCCCGGAGTGATGTTTGAAGAAGGTCCTTGGTGGGGGCCGTTAGGGTCTTTTTCATATTTTTCATGCTGTATTTTTGTTGGGCAAAGGTCTGAACAATAGAGCCTTGGAAGGTTGGAAGACTCTGTTTTCCTCTAGCTGCACCAGTGGTTTTAAGGTTCCATGTCAATCCTCAGGGTTGTAAGGCATAAGGAGTCCTAGCGAGAGGAAGTCCGATAAAGTGCATTGCAGACTTTGAATGCACGTTTCATGTAAGGGGTGTTCAGAATTGGGCACAACTGTTGCGGGCAGTTAGAGGGTAAGAGTCATCTCCCAAGCAGCTATATCATGGACACTGGCCAAGTCACACTTTTTGAACATTCAACATATTGGTTTCCGTGGTACTTGGTAGATGCTGGAGATCCGAGCCGACGTTTCGGAGCCGCCGCACGTCGCGCGCTTCAGGATGGGCCAAATCAACTGACTCAAGAGCCACGACTGGGACTCGTGATGCTCTTCCTTTTGCAGCTGACCAGCCCCTTGGAGCACAGAGCAGAGAGTGTGATGGGCAGCCCCAGAAGACGTGAAGAGCATGCAGTTGGGCACTTTGGGTGTCCAAAAGCGGTTTTGAATTCCTGCGCACGCTGGAACACGAGTTACATGACTTGGATAATCACTCAAGAGTTTCTTTTTTCTCATCTATCCATGCACAACAGGTGCCTTCAATCTTTAGAGTCTTTTGGTGCATGCTGCATACACAAGTGTAACCTCTCCAAAATCTGACTTAGAATCAATATCTCAAACGAGGCTTCATTATCATCCTCCTGATCATCGCGGCCATTGCCTCCATCGTGGTGAATGCCACCAATGAAGGCAGTCGTCACCTGGCTTCAACGAAACGAGCATGTGAGTGCTCTCCCCACCGGCCCGGCCTGGGTGCCGTCGTCCGTTTTCTTCCAGGGGAACGACATAGGTTTCGTCACGGACCCAAAAAAAGCCGTGTGTGGGACAAAGCCTCGGTGTGTTTCTTCTTGAGTTGTTGAAGACCTTCTCATGGCTCACTTGCTGTGTCCGACAAAAGCGGAGTGGATTTCCACTGTGCTCACCCAGGTGAAGAGATCCTCTCCTACACCACTGGTATGGCGATCTTCGTGTTGGTGATCTTGTTGCTCGGTGGCTTTGGTTCGGACCGGTCGACCGCGTCGACCCGCGTCCCTTCAGACCGGTCGACCGGTCGACGGGTCGTCCACTGGTCGACCCGGTGTTGAAACCGGGGTGGTTCGAGCGTTTCGTTCTTCTTGGCACCCCATTTGGTGCGTTCGGTTTCTTTCCAGCGTACCTGTGATGTTGAAATGGACTTGCAGTGCTGTTCAAGTGTTTTTTTTGGAACGGAGTTCTTGGAACTCGGGAGTGCGCTCGTTTCAGGAATGCTGGCATTGCAGCCTACACGGAGCCTAGGGGTTGTGAAATGACAGGGCCCTGGGTGGCCCAGGGGAAACAAGAATGCAGAGTCTTCACGTCTCAAGTGACTGCCTGGTTCAGCTCATCCTGCCAGGGCTTACTGGTTCCTGGAAAATCCCACACACCAAAGAGCAGTTGGGTTCCTTTCCCCTTTGGCCAGAGAAGGGAGTTGACCGCGAATCAGTTCCTTTGCAAGGCCAAGACTTGTTCCGTTCCGCCAACCTCCAACTTGAAAGAGTTCCACCCCCCCCCATACGACTCTCCGAAGTGCTCCTATGCGTGTTCGTTGGCCGCTACGGCGGCCCAGCAGCGGCCCGCTGCGGCCTGCTGCAGCTCGCAGGAGCACCAAGCGGGCAACGCGCTGGATGCGTTGGCGAAGCTCTCGCAGCCCGAAGTCTCGGTGCTGCGGGGTGGTGAGCAGGTGAGCATCCCCACGGTGCCTTAGGCTGGCAGAATGGGGGCCAAGCTGGGCTGGGGAACTGTTAGCCCGGATGTGCCTGGCCGGCTGGGTGAGAAGAGGGATGTGCAGGTTTTTTGAAGAGCACGGTTTCAATTTCAGGTCCGACACATTGCAACCTATCGTGGAGGGAAAACAGGCACGGGAAAAACATGGAAAAACACATGCAATTCCCAATGACACAGCTCTGTCGCTCGCTGCGTGGGTCTTTTTTTGCACGGACCGAACAAACGGGACCAACGTAAAAGACCCCAGGTCGACGTGGTGCGTGGGGATATCATCATCCTGGAGACCGGTGACGTGGTGCCCGCCGATCTGCGGCTGATCACCGCGCAGGACCTGACGCCGGGTGGAAGAAACGTGAACGAACGTGCAGGAGGAAACCACGGTTGTGTGGGTTTTGGAGCGGGTGTATTTCGGTGCGGTGCCTTTTGGATTCTGCCATAGGCCTTGTTTTGAAAGGGTGCTGATGGCCAGGAAGGTGGGTGATGATGAGGTAGGTGGGGCCAAGGCCGGCCAACCTTGAGCGGCCAGTGAGGGGTTTCAGCTGTGAATTATCAATGCCCGAGGCGGAAGGGTGCCAAAGCCTTTTGAGATCACCCGGATTTGGTGATCCATGTCACTGCCCCGAAAAGAATCTCGAGCTCTCTCGGCCCAATTTGTGTTCAGTGGCCCGAGTGAGTCTGTTTCCACGGATTCCCCAGACTGGCAGGTTGTTTTGTTGATTGACATGTGGCATGTGTAGGTTTTTTGGTCACGGTTTGTTCTGTTACTGTACCCATTTGTGGGCTTTGGGATTCACAGCCAACAGCCAAGGTGGTTTAGTGGACCCCTGCACTTCCTTGTCGCGGAGATCCGGGCTTTGTGGCATTTCGTTCGGCTAAGGAAGGTGGACGAGAAAGCTTTGACTGGTGAGCCAGATGATGTGTGCGGATGCCCTGCTGATGTGGAAGAATAATCAAACCACAACCTATATACAGACAGCAATTTCTGGCTCTTGTTTGTGTATGGGCGTGGATGCTCCCAATAGTTGGGAATAAGGGGGTTCCTCCAGAGACATCAGCATCCAGAGATGGGGTTTGCTTTTGGGACCACATTTGGGAAAACAAACAAGAACTCTTTGCGTCTTGGAGTTTGCTGAGGCCCAAGAACACGAAGATCAAAGAGCAGACCCGCCCTTAGATTGCGCCGAGCCTCACCACAGTGCGTGCCTGCTTAGTGGTAATCCCATTGCAGCCCTGGCACATTACCCCCAACCGCTTGAACATTGTCTGGATGTACCTTAGTCACCCTGATATAGTTTTTGGACTTGTTTCCATGAGTATTAGCAACACGCCATCGAAAAAGACGCTTCTTGGGATACCCCGAAGGAGGATGGTCAGGGTGGGCCAAGACATCCCGACACACCGGTCCGACATCTGGGTAGTGACACTCGTTGTAGGCAAACGGTGCAAGAAAAAGCCAAGCAAGTGACAAGTAAGATTGTTGTTAAGTGCACCTCCCACTTGACCACTAGAGCAAGCTGTACTCAGCTTCTCTTGCTTGGCTAAGGACCAAGCTCACGCCGGAGAACATGGTCTTCTCTGGCTGCCCCGTGGCCAATGGCAAGTGCAAGGCTGGAGGACCCATGGTCTTGGTATGAGAAAGGTAGACACACACACACACACACTTACTTGAGAAGAAGGGCGTAATCAGAGTGATACCAAAGGTGCATTAACACTTCACGGTCTAGTTGCTGCAATACCAGTCTAAGTGCAAGACGACCTCAATCCTGGAAGCAGACCTTGAAAAGGCCGAGAACAATAAGTAACAGTCTCTGCATCTAACGACCTTTGTTGCCAAGTGCAGGTACGTCCAGCTGGCCAAGCTGGATATCCCATTCCACGAGTAGCTTCGTTAGACACATTCCTAATGACATGCTGTGTCCCTCTGCTATCGAATTTATCATGGGAACTGAAAAGAAGGCCCCTGGACACGGGGTGGGTTTGACACACACTTGAGAAAGAGCTCCAAGGAACAAAATTCAGAGTGGACCTCGGTGTGCATTAGTCCTTTAATTCTTACGGCAGATGAGATGTTGGCCGCAGAACAGAATGGCGATATGTCCAAGGAGTTGGATTGTTTAACATAGGTGAAGCATGGAGCAGTTAAAAGCCGGAAAAAGCGGGTAGGTCGATCCCCCGTACCGGATGGATGTCACCAGCACGCATTCAGTTGGTGCAAGACTGGATGGGCTGCTTGCACCCCCTGCTTGGACTGTACAGTAGGGGCTCAAAAGATAGAAGCAGCCAGGGAGGTGACACGCACAGACACACACACACACATACACCGGACCAAGACTCATGGCCCATTGGTCATTGTCTAATGGATTCCCCGATTTTGAGACAAATCATTCATATATGTGAATATATGTGAGGTTTCCACGTACACATTTTTCCCGCGCAAGAGAGCAACATTTTGTGAATAATGAACAGCGAATGACCACGAAGGACAGCATCCTACTGTGGACCACCTCCACTGTAGGGATGGTGACAGGTCTAACCCTACCAAGGTGTTTGTGAGGACTTTGTGCGTGCGTTGTACGGACAAAACACGTTGGTGTCGTACAAAACAGCTGTTGGTTCATCAATCGCAGAAGACGTGTTTGGTGTCCATGAATTCCGAAATTCGCACGCGAGTTGTGGCATGTGAGCCCACGCATGGGTCGTCGATGCACGGCGTCGACGTGGTCCTGGGCATCGAATCCAGGGAGTGGTGGTGGCCACCGGAATGGACACGCGCATTGGGGACATTGCGAAGATGATGGCCAGCGAGGATCAGGAGGCAGAGGGAGGCATCTGCGGTTTGAAAGGTTGTTATTTTTTCAAAAACTGTTTTTGGGTAAACCTGTATTGTTTTGGGACCTCTTCTGTGTGGATGGCTGAAAGAATGTGAGAGAATGCGAGAGGTGCTTGATGTCAAGTGAGTGCCAAAACCAAATAGGTCATTCGGAAATTCGAACATTTTGTTTCTGTTTTCAGGAGTTCTCACATGTTTCAGACCTGTTAGAAATGAAACTGTGTGCAGCCGCTCTGGCTTCGCTGTGAACTTGCTGCGCCGACTTTCTTCCGACCGGCAGCGGTGACCGATGCTCGCCCGGCGGATTGGTGGCCTGGTGGCGCGCCCAGGATTGGCACCGGCATTTGGGGCTTTGGGTGGTGGAAGGTTCTTCTCTGCGTATGAGGGTCAAGAAGTGACAGATGACCAGCTTGTGAAGAAGAGCAATGACTGGGCCATTGAGGAGACCAACTTCTGCTTGGGCCGCACCAGCTTTGTTCGATACAAGGAGACGGATGACCTGGCCCGCCGGACCAAGCATTTGATGGATTGCCAGCTGAACAAGCAGCACACCCGCTTGCGCGATGGCACCGTGATTCCTTACACCGCCTTGTTTCTGGATGACATGATCGACCGACCCGGACCTTGCCACATCTTCACCGAGCAGCCCTTGCTGAAATGGACCTGGGATGAGACCTATGATGAGGCCTATGAGAAGCCGAAAGGTGCCAAGTGAGAGGCGTCCACTCCTGGATCCACCTAGTGACTCGTGCCGTGAGGCGCCCGTCTGGGCCTGAGGATCGTGATTTGAAACCAATTGGACAGCTTCCGTCAATCCGCGAGAAAAAAGGAATCTTCGCCCGGAGAGCTTGACCTGCAGTGGAACTCACCAAAATCGGAGACCTGCCTCCTTGTCAGTTCATTTTCGAGGACCTACGACCTGCAGTAAGCGTCCCCCACTGTCGAAGCCCCTCCCCGATGCTTCTTCATCGTGCCGTGGCCAGGGCGGTGGATGGTGCAGCTGCCTACCCAAGAGCGCTGAGAACAAGACGCCGCTGCAGGTCGAACCTCCAGGGCAGGTGGTCAGGTGGTTGTGATATGACATGATATGACCTTCCACGGAAACTCCGGAATTGCGAGCCCCAAACGAAGCTTTCCGGGGAGCACCACGGAGCACCAAAGACGAGCGGCTGATTTCAGCCTTGTAGCACCAAGATGTTCCATGACATTTTCAGCAGCAAGCGAGGACTTCGATGGATCAACCATCCCCACACCCGCCGAAGTTGAATCCAGCGGATGGTTGGTTGAAGATGTTGAGGTATGCAAACATATACAGAATCTTATTTTCAGTAGAAGTGGGTCTTCTTGGGGGGGGGGTCACTACCTCACTGCCTTTAATCGTGTGGCGCAAATCCCGATCGTAGAAAAAGGAAGAATTGCTTCGGACAGATTTGCGTCCAAACTCCAGTCGAGTGGTGCTTCGAGCTGATTCTCCTCGTGGCTTCATCTCCTGGCCATCTCCAGACTGATTCTGGCCACACATTCGCTTGCAGGAGAACATTGAGAGCTTGGGTGCTCGAATCGGTGTCCTTGCCATCCTCATTTGCGCCATCGTCTTTGTCATCGGCCTGGCGATCGGCACCAAGGACACCCTCCTTCCGACTGGGGTTGGTTGACATTTTTGGTGAACATGATCGAGCCATGAGTTGGGCTTCCTTGCGAGTGAGCTCCAAATGTGTATGTGTAGAGTAAATGGTATGCTCCATGTATGTGTGTATGCTCTCAGTGAGCTCCAACTTGTGGAGGTAGACGCAGGAGTGCATGTGTGACAAGGTAGGTCCATGATCTGTGTGGGTGAATGAAGACAAGATCGCAAGGGATGAACTTCTTCAAGGGGGCCAGACGCTCCAGGGTCATTCAATTGCTTTCTGCTCTGAGCTTCGTCTTGGGATTCCACGAATTCTCCGCCAGTAGATTCAGTTTTTGCCTACGACAGAGGTTGAACGACCCCATCTCGTGCCTATTGGCGCGAAAAGCCAACCCTAACCGACCGAAGAGCGTCTATTTTTTCGAAGTCCACGGGGCCCATCGTCCTTACACTCGTATCTGGCAGTGTCTTCTTGGAGAATCCCAAGGACCCGGAGTATCCCGAGAATCCGAGCTGGATCTACATGATCTTGATTGCAGTGACCCTGGCCGTGGCGGCCATCCCGGAGGGCATCCCCTTGTGCGTGACGATCTCCTTGGCCATTGGATGTCAAGAAATGGTCCAAAAGAACGTGCAGGCGGAATGGGATGGTATATTTATATAAATTTATGTTTTCCCTTTTCGGACCTTTTTCGGTTCAAATTGGAATTGCGGTTCACGTCAAGCTTTCTTTGATTTGATCCTGTTTTAGACCAGGCGGCGAAACCACAGCTGCATAGGTCATAGGTGCAGAACATGTCGATCTCCTAACTCTCAAGTGAGACCCGCAGGCTTCTACGTTTGCACACGTGAATCCACACCTGCAACCACCCAGACGATCGCTTCCAAAAGGGGATGGCCAACTCCATCCCACTCCGTCTTGTTTGGCCCTCCCTCTCACCCGCCACCCAAAGAGGACGCCGGTGCCGCCGGTGCCGCCGGTGCAGGTCCGCAAGATCGCCGCCGTCGAGACGCTGGGCTCGGCCTCGGTGATCTGCAGCGACAAGACGGGAACCCTGACGGAAGGCGCCGGAGCGCGGAGCGCGGAGCGAAGCGCGTGTGGAGCCCCCCTTTCTTTCCGTTCGGTGAGTGAGTGAGTGAGTGAGTGAGTGACCAGCTATTTGCGTCTTCTTTTCTTCTTCTTTCTTTTTGTTCGCCTTGATGTCGCCAGTTGGTGGATGTTGTTTGGGTTTGTGCTGCCAGCTTGGATGTCCGGATCCCGACTTCCAGGCAAGATGACCATGACAAAGATGTGGTCGGCCGGCGCGGAGTACAACGTCACCGGCCAAGGCTTCGACCCCACCAAGGGTGCTATCTTCCGGTCGGGTGTGGTGATGCCGCCGGGCACCAACAGCAACCGAGATCCAGGGGTCCGGAGCACGCTGCTGGCGGCCCTGCTCTGCTGTGATACCGAGCTCTTTTGTGAGGAGGCGAGGGTGGAGAGGGTGCCTATAGGCCATGCCGCTGCCACAGTGCCACATCCATCTTTCGCTATCATTTCACCACGGTTTCACCATCTTCTCTTTCCCAACACTGAACTCACCACCCCATCACCCTGCATCCGCGCGGACCAAGTCCCGGACTCGGTCAGATCGAGTCTGGCCCCTTTTGCCTCCGCAGGACGCGACGTCGGGGGAGAAGACGTGGCAGTACCGCGGCAACAGCTCGGAGGCGCCCATTGTGGTGGCCGCGCGGAAGGCGCAGGTGGCGCCCAAGGAGGGTGAGCGGCTTGGAATGGGGAAGAGACGGACGTGATCTAAGGTGATGTTGCTTTCACCTTTTTTGTTGTTTCTTTTTCAAGTCGCGGGATTGCAGACCTCCAGATTTTCAATCGTGACCATGGCATTGTTTTTGAACCCAGGTACCGCCGGCTCCTGACCATCCCATTCTCCTCCTCGCGGAAGATGATGCTCACTGTCACGGATGTGGCAGGGCGCGTGGAGCTCTGCCCGAATGGCATGCCGCTGCCTCCGCAGACGACGGCTTTTACGGTTTGCAAGGGGGCTCCGATGCCTGGCAAAGGAAGTGCGGTGGAGAGTGGTGCTTGAGGCGTGTGGAGGACAGCTTGGATCTATTTATGTCGGTTTGTACAACTTAGACATTTTCTGTGAGGTGTCAGGGGCAAAGAGAAAGTGTAAGGAGGAAAGAGGAAAGCAGCATACTAGCAGTACTTGAAGGGTCTACTGCTGAGTCTACTTCAACCCGCAATCATGTATATAGATTGACAAGGAGATATGTATTTTTGCTCAGGATGGACGGTGTCAGCAGAGTAAGCCAAGGAACTGGATCATCCAGAACTGCACCAGCATTCTGCGTGAAGATGGCACAGTAGCTCCTTTGTCAGAGGTGGAGAAGCAGCAGATCAATGCCAGAGTGGTTGATGCGCATCTCTTCTGCAGTGTCGCGCATCACTTGAGACACGAGATGTCTCAAACTGGGAGATGTCTCATTCTAAGAGATGTCTCATTCCTTCTGGTCAAAAGGACCAGTTCAAAGACACATCATCGAAGGTTTTTCGTTCGGCCGAAGAGTTGACCGGAGCTTCTCCCCTTCCTCAGGTACTCCGACCTGGCGTTGCGGGTCTTAGCAGTGGCCGTGGGATGCATTCAGCAACCGCCTTTGGACTTGGAGAGTGAGGACACGTACTGACATTTTACTGGGCACCCTCTTGAAGCATGCAGCAATGCCTGCCTGGTTGAAATCCTTTAATTAGCAAGCAATCCATTCATACACTCCTGTGCTTATGGGATCTTGTGGGACTTCAGCATGTTCTGTGGACACACTGTGCTGAAGGTTGTTTTTGGCAAACGACATGAGGACATTCCCGTGGATGAAAAGTTCGAAGTGCTCAAGACTCTTGGCCAGTCATCCTTCTCACCCCCACAGCTACTTTCAACCCCGCTTGAGAGGAGTGATTCACCGATTCGTTTGATTTCCATTGATTTCCATGTTCCGATGTCCACATTCACTGATGGATGGATCTCCCTTGGATCCATGGTACCTCCATGTAACTCCACCGTTCCACTCGTTGGCACCGGTACCTTTTCGCTTCGCTGGGCCGCTCCGCCTGCTCCGCGGCAACCAGGTCGGGCCTCACCTTGGCGGGGCTGGTGGCCTCGATGGATCCGGACCGCGAGGGCGTGCAGGTGGGGCGGTGGGGTTCAGCAAGACCCAGGGATCGACCGGGAGAGGGGCTTGAAGGATGGGAAAGCCAAGGCCGGTGCGCGGGCGGTGCGCAGCTTCTGGGGACTTGGCGGGGTTCGTTGGAGTATGGGGCTGTAGACTGTGGACCCCAGAAGGGCCACTATTCAGGGCCCTGAACAATGTCCAAGCAGAAACGACCAACCTTTTTGGGGGAGCCCCCCACCAGAGTGTAGGCCTTTCCGATTGAACCGCACCCAATCCGATTTAAAGCAAGAACTGAACGATCCAAGGCGAAGGCCATCCAAGGCGAAGGCCCCGCCCAAGTGTCGCTGTCTTCTGGATTCTTCGGGTGATCCTCTTTTATTCACGCTCGCTTGTCCAGGTCAAACAGCTTGGGAGACTTTGCAGCTTCCCTTGACCAAGTTGTTGTGGGACAAGTTGTTTGACCGAGTTCGCTTACCAATCAGGTAGAGCAGGCTTAACCACCAGGTTCGCCTGGAAAAGTCTCGGCACGTCGCCCTGTCCACATGAGGCCTCCGTCGTGGCTGCACGGGGCGCTGGGATTCGGGTGGTGCCTCGGCTGTGGAAAGGGTGAGCGTTCGGAGGGTTTCGGTGAGGAAGTCCGGTTAGGAAGTTGATGCAAGTTTGAAGTTGCAGAAGAATTGTATGAGTGCAAAGAGGTGATTCCTGGTCGGATGGACGTTCATTCTTGCAAATTGTTCCTGTTATTGGCTGAGACTTCAGGGTTTGTGGTATTTTTCCTCACGAAATGGCCGAGTTTCAGTCATCAATTTCCGGAGAGGCGTGTTTGGTAAGGTTTTGCTGGTCAATTGCTCGTATTTTGGCAATTGCTCGTTTGGTTCACATCATTTGATTCTATTGGTTTCAGGCTAAAGATTGATTCATGATCAACAACCAGATACGGACGCGCGCAGTTGCATATCCGACAATATGACATGATATACCCCTATGCAACATACTGATGGAGTGCCCTGTTTACCTGTTGGCTGGCTCTCGAGGTCCCCCAACAAGACCGGACTTGGCCATTTGGTTTTTCTTGCAAACGCTCAGCAGAGCATGGAGGCAGAGCATGAAGCATGAACAAATACCATGACATACCAAACTCATTTGTTTTTGTTCTTTTTCTTTGTCACTGGTAGTTTTGCTTTGGCGAATCCGAAGGATTCCCCAAAAGGATCCCCCCAAAGGGTTGTTTTTCAGGACCAAAATGGTTCCGTTGAGGTCATGATCACCGGTGACTACCTGAAGACGGCCATTGCCATTGCCAGGCGTTGTCGCGTCCGCATCGGAGCCGCGGGGGCTGTCGCGTCCGATGGAGTCGATCTACTCGTTGAGGACCCGGCAACCTGATGCAGCCGAGACCGAAGAACTCCCAGCAGATGAAGACTCTGTTCACGTGAAGTTGCCAGCACCGATGTATTACACTAGACAAAAACAACCCGGATGAAAGGCAATGCTTACAGTACAACTATGTGATAGGGGGGTTTTACTGTATGAGTCATGCATCTACTACATTATTGATGAATTTAGCCCACTTGATCATCCAAATGGCTCACCAGGCGCGTGGACATCTTGCAGGATGAGGATAACGTCGCGTACTCGGTGGCTTGGCACGCCTTGGAGGAATGCTGCACTCTGTGGCCTTGTGTGGGGTTCGACAGTGGGGAGCTGAAAAGATAGTAAGACACACCTTTCGGGATGATGCAGATTGATGCAGAGAGAGAGAGAGAGAGACAGAGACAGAGACAGAGACAGAGATAGAAGGGGGGACTGGGATGGCACGGGCCATTCTATGGCTATGGACAAGCTGATAGACCTGGGATGGGCCTGTATTGTCTTGGAATGTCCTAGCCAGAATGCAGAAGCCCCACAGAAAAGGCATCAAGCTTGCGACTTTGCAGTTTTGACACTTGGCTCACTTTCGTAGCTCCGAAAGGCTGTGGACTGCAACTCCCTTCGCCCTGCGGACGACCAGTACCTCTCGGATGAGAAGATTGTGGGCGTCTAAGATGGGGGGGAGAGCACTGCTGACCTGAGGATCGGGGCGGGAGATCTGGCAGAAGCATGTAGAAGCAAGGTTTGATGATTTGATGGGTGGGTGGTCGAGACCTTGACAATGCCGATGACTGCCATGAGCTGGCTTGTGTTCTACAAGTGTCTCATTTCTCGGAGAAAGTTTGGGCCTCAAGGACCCCAAGAAATCTTGCCATCAATTTTTTTTCATGTCCAGTTTGCACTTGCCTAGGTTATTGAATGCGCGATGCCTAGGCATGTGATTGATCACCGCAGCATTTGCGGCTGCAAACCCAAGGGGGACGAAAGCTAGGCATTTAATACCTTGCTGCAGTCGTAGAAAAGCTGCGTTGGGCTTGAGCGACCTGTTCTAAAGTTGAACCACACCTTTTCCCAGATTCCTCGCTTTCCATCAGACGGACTGAACCAGGAACCTCCTGCACCCGCCGAGGACGAGATGACCTCCCGCGTGCGGGTCTTCGCGCGCGCGAAGCCCGCCGATAAGCTGGAGATCGTGAAGTCGTTGCAGCGCCAGGGCTTGGTTTGCGCCATGCACCTGGGCTTGGTCTGTGCGGTGGGAGGGTGATGATGTGGGTGATGTGGTCTGCCACAATCAGTTGAGTCTTGTTATATACATCTTTTTAAATACATACCCATTCTGCCTGGCTGGATTCTCGTAGTTAGGCCATTTGTTCAATTTCATCACAATCCTGGGAAATAAAGGAGTATATAGACTGCCTGCGTGGCCAAGCACAGACCCTGCTACACCCTTTCACAGACAGACGGGGATCAGATAGGTAGAGGGAGGCCGCCATTCACTGACTGACATCTTCATCTTTTTGGTGTTGTATCTCCCCCCGGACGGGCTATTCCCCAAGGTGCCGAGCGCCCGTTCCCTTCCGGCCGCGCCGAACGGGCCAGGACGGGCGACGGCGTGAACGACGCGCCGGCGCTGCACGAGGCGCGCATCGGCGTGGCCATGGGGCTGCAGGGCACCGAAGTGGCCAAGGGCGCCGCAGAGATGCAGCGAGACGGCAGAGATGCTGGGGATTGTGTTGGTTCGTTTTCTCGGAGGGTGTGGGAGTGCAGTGGGGTGTTTGGGGATCCTGGGGAGTGGGGCAGGGTCTCAGGGACCGTCTTGGTTTGGAGAGGAAAGTCCTTTGTGGAGCTCTTGCATTCATCTCTCTGTGGAAGGACATGCTCCATCAGATTGGGCGGATGCCACCAGCTTTCAGCGCCGCCCGTGCCCGTGCCGCGCCGCCGAGGGTTCTAACAGACGACAACTTCACCTCCATCGTGAAGGCTGTGGAAAAGGGCCGTGCCATCTACGCAGGCCATCACCAGAGCGAGACAGAGACAGCTCTTTTTTACTCTGTGGGTTCGTTACTGAATATGTGCGAAGAATTTATATACATGGTTTCTCGAAATGCCGAAATGCTTCCACTGCAGATGACACCGAAAGGTTCCAACCCCCTCAGCCCGGTCGCGACAGATCGCCTGCTTGACGCATTCTCTGGGATCCAGGCATCCAGAAGTTCGTGGCATTCATCATGTCCGTGCACATTGCTGAGGCAGGGTTTCTTGGTCCAGGATTTGGTCACTTTTAGGACCGCTAGCCAGCGAGTGGGTCAACATTTCACTGGCTGCGCAGTGTGACAACTGCATAGCTTGGGTCGCTTTGCGCCAAGATCTTTTTTTGACCTCCAAGATTGAGAGCATGATAGCCATCCAGAACGTTTGTGAGGTGCCAAACCTAGCACTGTGATTCCAGGACTCCACTTGCTGATGAATTTTGAATGTTGCTATTCGCTGCTTGCAGGTCATCCAAATCTTCTTTTGTGTGGTGGTGTCAATGCCTTTGATGAGAACCCCCTTGCAGAAGCTTGGCAGAAGGTCAGATGAATGATGATGAAAGTATTTTGCTTTTTCTTCCAGAGCTTCCAAATCAAAGTTCAAGCCACGCGTTTAAGAACAAAGCCTTGCGATAGACACTCACACCAGTCGCTCCAAGTTGCACGTGTTCCCAGATCATGTAACATAATGAACAGGGAAGGGAAAGACGGGTGACATTCACTTACCAACCAACAGACTTCAAGAGAGCAGAATATGCACTGCAATCGGCAAAACCCAAGGCCGCATGGGTTCCACTTGGCGTGCTTACCCGAAAGATCCTTAAAGCACTGGGCCTGTGTTTATTGGGATCCTGATTCGAGGTGTAAAGCATGTCGAGCTCAGGATTTTGTTCCTCATTTTGGTCACAGATCTGCCTCCGTCCATTGCCCTTGGCATGGAACCTGGAGAGAGGACTGTTGCGTGGCCCAGTGTGTTGGACAAGAACTTGAGGGGAGGAGATTCTCATTTTACACCAAAAACGTGGAACTGGGTGTGTCAGCAGGTGTGTCTCTCCTCAAAATCAGGTGAGAACCACCCCCAAAAGACAATTGGATGTCAGCTGAGCAGGAACATCTTGGAGCAACCTCCACGGCCGAAGCAGGAACCCATCGCCCCGCGGCCGGTAGCGGGGACCGCGGACCGGGAGCGGTGACCCGGTTTCACTGACCCCTGAGAACTCCTCTCCTTGATGGGGGGTGCCGTCCTTAATGGGGGATCACGCATACTCAAGACAATTGGGAACCCAATCCAGACCTCAACATTTCAGAGAATGCTCTGCAGCGCAGGTCGTGGTTTGAATTTTTGGGATGTCGTGGTTTGGAATCTCTGCAAACCTCTTGGACTGTTGAGCTGGTGCTCTGGTCTGGGCGCTCTTTGGTTAGCAAAAAGTGTTAGCCCGAGCCTACCGAAGCAAGGCACTTGCCCGTCACACAAACAGGTGGCATGGCACAGAACAGACATTTCACACAGTCAGCACGACAATGCACTCCGGCCAGCCAGCCAGCCAGCCAGCAAGCAAGCAAGCAAGCAAGCTACCAAGCAAGCAAGCAAGCAAGCAAGCAAGCAAGCTACCAAGTACCAAGCTACCCAGCTGCCAACCTACCTAGCTACCTAGCTACCTAGCCACTTACCAACCTACCAGCCTACCAGCCTACCAACCAACCTACCCTTCTGTACTGTACCGTACCAGACCAGGCCAACATAGCCAACCAACATACCTCACCATCACCAGACCATAGCGTGCCACCCAACCCGATGCTTGGGCTTGGGCCTATTGAGTAGAATTGGAGTAGTAATCGTGACCCGCGAAGTGTTACGCATTTTGATGCACATGAGGTGCTCGGCTGGATGTGGGTGAGCATTTGCTTAAATGGGCTGATTCTATCTGCTGTGATCATCGGGATCTATGTCGTGGCCTTGCAACACTACCTGGGAGTGGTCTTCCTGTCGGAGATCCTCACACTGAAAAGCACGGGAGGAGCCGGCGGAGGAGCCGGCTGGGGAGCTTTTCAGTGAAGACCGGCCAATTTCTCACACGTTCTTTTTTGGGAGCGAGGCAAGCTTGGCAGCCTCTGTCTCATGCACATCAGTTCTGCTGCCATGATTCCCGTCTTACTTGTTTGGTGGGTTTTGAACCAAACTCCTTGAAGGGGTGTGTCAAAACCCAGCAACCAGGAGCCTCGCAAGCGGAGCTGGATGAGATCGACCAGAACTTGGCGCGTGCGAGAACCGTGGCCTTCATCTCGTTGGTCTTCTGCGCGTCTCGGCCGAACGGGGTGGATCGGTGGAGGGGTCCACGTGGGTGGAAGGGGCCGGAGGGTTCTGGTGGATTCTGGAGGATGGATGACGGATGGACGCTGCCTGTGAAAGCATGGAGCTGTTCGGGAGCTGTTTTTTGCATGGCGGATTTCAGGGTGGAGGAGGGTAGAGAGGCTGGAGAGGATAGTGAGTCCCATCTGGCAAAGCTGATGGACCTTTCGTTCCTTGGCCCCAGCTGAAGCAGCGGCGGTTCGAGGTCCCGCGTTTTGACCGGACCGGAAACGACTGGGTTTCCCTGCTGAAGAGCATGACTGGGTCGGTGATCCACTTTTGGCGACACTTGCATTTGTCATTGCATAGAAACTTCCGACATGTTAGTGACTTGTCTGGTTTTTACCCCCAACGGGGCCCAGTTTCCGGACGTCACATTTACACACGTGCCCAGGAGAACGTGCGCGCGTACATCTGTCGCTCCTTCAGTGAACCTGTCTGGGTGGACCTCTTCACCAATCCGGTGATGCAGAAAGCCGTTCTCATGGCGCAGGCGGGAGCGACAGTGGGAGTGACGGTGAGTTTAGCTGAGAAGGATGGAAGCGGTTTCCACCAGCCGTGCGACAAGGGCAAGAACGCACGCCAGGTTTGTTGCTGTTTCGTTCTTGGAATGCAGGGGGGTTGGTCAACTGGCAACCAGTTCCAACTTTTAGGGCGAACCGGGAACAAAGCCGTTTGCATCTAAACTCGGAACGCTTCCCATAACAGGATGCGCACTCAGGACGCATCACATGTGACTGGCAATCAGAGTGACCAGTCACTCTGTTCAATATTCACCACCACCCCAAGCAACACCAAGCAACACCCCATGGCTTTTGTGGTAACCCCAAGTCCTTCACGTCGTTGGCGACGGCGATGGCATCTTCTCTTCATCAGGTGGCGATGCTGTGCGCGGTGCTGATCCCCTTCTTCTCGACGGAGATCTTGGGGCTTGATGGTCTAAGCATTGGCTGGTGGGGATGGCTCTTCTCCCTGGTAGGCGCGAACAGTGGCGCGAACACCCACGTCACAAGACGACGTGAAAGCTGCGGTGGGGGGCGAAGACCCGGAAAGCTGCGGGCAAAACCCGGACTTCGCGGCGTGTTTTGCGAGAGGAAGCGGCGCGAATTGTTCAAAGAATGGGATTCCAGGCGAAGAGATGGGTTTTTGATTGACCAAGAAGTAATTTGAGGATTGTTGAATTGACCTCAATGGTCGGCACATCGAACAGCCATTGGTAGCGCTTTAGCGCTCGTCTCCAGGACCAGCGGCCACGCTGGTGCTGTGTGAGCTCTGTAAGCTCTTGACGAAGTGGCAGATGAAGAGATACCAACGTCAGCTGAAGTTCCAAAGCGATGAAGGCCGGCGGCGTGACGCGTTGCTCGGGCCGGGCTGCGGGGATGGCGGGTAGGGCCACCGGGCGCATGCAGGCCTCGAGACCGAGGAAGAGACCGAGTCCAGCGACTCGGAGCTCGGGCGCAGGTCACTTGGTCGGAGGAGCTGAAGAGAACCACTGATGCTGGGTGGTGATTCAGCTCCAGTCCTTGGTTTTTTTCGGGGGTCCATGAAGGGGGGAGCTCATGTTGGCTGTTGATGACTCACCAACCCCCAGGACTGGAGATGTAAAACCATTCTGGAGACCAGGGGTTTTGATTCATCCACAGTCCACATTCGGGTCCTAGATCAGGAGGCACAATGGGGGTCGGGTGCAAGCTTTGCCACACATTGACAAATTGAGATATTTTTTGGTCCTGCAAGACGAGCAGCTGTGTTCTGTTCCGATTCTTGAACCTGAGATGCAAAGCTTCCAACGCAGCTCTGACTTGAATCAGGTGATCTAAGTGTCATGGCGCGGTCCTTCACCCATGGTGGTGAGAGTGAGAGGGAAACGTGTAGTGTGTCTTAGTGTGTAGTCAGCGATATGAACCTGAGCCATCAATTGCAGTGCGATTCCAGCGAGTCTTAAGATCCCATTCCTTTGAAAAACTCAGAAGGAAAAAGACTCACACAAAAGCAACGCATGCGGAGAGCAGTGGACATGTTGATTCTCTCTTTTCCATGGGCCTTTTGGCCGTTTGTTTGAGCTACGCCGTAAACCTCTCTTTATGACCTTTCAATCCATCAAGGTTTCCAGCACAGCTCTATTCTTTGTCTTTTGTTTGGTTTCTTTTTTCTTTTTTCCCGTCGTGTCATCCTCCGTTTTTTGGGGGTTGAAGGTGGTACCGCAGAAAACGGATGCGCAAACGGAACGGGCCGAAATGCTTCCTCGCGTGTGGTTGTTGCTCAATGGTTGCCATGGCTTTCCACCTTCAGATCTGAACCCTTTGACTGCAAGACTGGCAATAGTTTATAGTGAGAGCAATGGACTGGTTACTAACAAGAGCCCTCTCAGTCCCAGCTGTATTGTAGGGTGTCATTGTGTGCTGTTGGAATCTGCTGCTTTTCTGAAGACCGATGCCTTTGGAACTTTAAAGAGTTTCTGCGGCCGTACAGACCCACGCATGCGGTCTGAGGATAGGATTGCTGATCTAAATTCCTTGCTCACAAACCAACATAAATGCACATGACATCCTCCTTCATTCTGTACAGGAGGACTTTAGATCTGCAGTTAGATGTGTATAGTTCCGACGGATGTGGCATAAACTCCAGTGCCATTGCCCTTCGGAGAAGTACCTGCAGTATACTGCTGATTGGTGAAGAGAGGAGGAGCCTTGTATTTTCATTGCCAAGATGTGGATTCTGAATTGCTGTGTTTTTGAAGTGGCACCGAGCTCCTTGGCACCGCAGCAGCATGCAAATGCTCCAGACAAGGTCGATCAACGCATGGAACAGGAAAAGCCATGACCACTGCAGTCTACCGCACACGGGTGCATTGTGGTGGCTTTCCCCGAAACAGAAGCCAATGCAGTCTATGAATAACTCCTTTGATCCATTGACTGGAGTTGGATAAAGGAGCCTGCCTTTTCAATTCCAGCGGAGGTCTCGCAGAGGCTTTTGGAGTGTGCGTCTCTAGTGATACCTTTTCTCAAGTGCACAAGCATGGGCTGAAAACCTGAGCCTCCCTCACCATCATACACCTTAGCCACCTTGATGGCAACCCGAAAGAGACCTACTTTAGAGTCCAGGATGTACGCTGTTTCTGCATTCGTAGTGCCTTTTCTTTGCACTACGACAGAGTCCAGAAAGTCCAAAGAGTCCAACTCCCGAAGAGTCCAACACGTCTCGATCACTGCGATGCCCGGACTGGCTGAAGGCGGGATTCCGGGGGGGGAGCCGTGGGAAGCTGACGGGGCCTACGTAGCTTTTTTGCTCCACCTGCACCTTTCCTGACGTGCTTTGGCTCCTTTGCCCGGGTGTGAAGGATTAGCGACAAAATTCATGTTGTGAAATGTACAGCAGTATGTGAATCGACTACACAGAACATATCATATATATATATAGACATATTACTGTAATATTAGCTAAATTTGAAAGCAATGAAACCAAGATGTCTATTGGATCCCTACGTTCAGGTACGCCTTGTATATTTTCTAGGTACAGCGCAGGTGGTGCGATGGTGCGGGGGCAGGTGCGATGGTAGGGTGCGAGGGTGCGGGGGCAGG